CACAAGGGTTAATACACTCGATTGAACTGAACTGAATTTATTTAATTTATATGCTGCCCATTTCACTACCAAGCAACTACCAAGTATCCCTCTTTAAAAATATTACAGTTTTAGCATTGTCATATTGGGCTAGGTTATCATAATGCTCCCTCAGACTGCAAAATGCTTGAAGACAAGATGCTAGAGATGGATTTGAAATTTTGAAGCAGGAAAAAAATTGATGTTGGTATTCTAACTAAGGAACAAAGCAGTTTGGTAATCGGGATTTTAAATTGGTAAGACTTTTGGAGATTCCACAATAATATAACTACTGAAGTATCAAGATTTATAAGAATTTATCTATAAGAAATCAAATACTACATTGTCAAAAGAAAGCCAACATACCTTTACCATCACATCATACCAACTAGGCTGTATTTCTGAATTTATTAGAAACAGCGGTCAGTACATCCTTCTGAAACATTACATTTAAATGTGCTTTATTGCAATCTTTATTGCATTTTTTATTTTGAAGCAAAATAGGCCAGAATGCTTAGTGTCTGGAATTCCAAAGCTCAACCATCTATTTTTTAAAAATAAAAAACATAAGAAACATCATAGTACACTTGGTGACACATATGATGTTGCATTATTCATCTAGAAACCACAATATGATTTAACATACAACTGTTTTCTTCATGAAGCAGTTTCTTTTCGAAAGTTAAACAACATGAATTGGGCTACATCATAAAATGACAGAACAAGTTTCACATACCAACACGAATACCAAAATTACATGCTGGAATTCATATGAAAAAGAATAAAAACAAAAACAATAGCTGTGGCTTCATGAGTAGCAAATCTTTTGATAAAGAGTATCCTTAAGAGGAAAACCAACATGTATTTCAAGAATGCAGTGCTTAGGTGTGAGTTGTATAAAGGAGTGCACATTCCTAGCATACTCCATTAAAATTAATAATCATATATTCTTAGAGAAAATAATATTCTATTTATATCTACAGATATAATTGTTTCCATATGTTGCAATTAATGCTACAGTACTGCTCTCTTTTGCACACACTTTCTAGATGATGTGGCTTTCACTTTTAAAAAAGTGAAAATGTTACTTTATCTCAAAAGAATTGGGAGTTTGTAGAAAGCATTACAACTTTGCTTTATTTGAAGTGAGATAAGACTCATTTTACTTTTTGTAGCGAGGGCAGTCAAACAATGATCCCAGTTTCAGGCTGAATAGGTCTAGCAAGTGCAGGTGGCAATTTGGATTCAGTTGAGCAATGTCATGGCTAATGCATATAAATGTATAGGTGGATCCATTTTCCACCTATCTATCTATCTATATACATATAGCACACTTGCACACACTCAAATACAGTAAGAAAAGGTGCAGACCAATAGATCATATGGGGCTGCAAAACCCAATTAACAGACTCATGTTTCTTTATAATCAGTCACCCCAAACTCAAAATACTCTGTACAGATGGCTAGCCTGGAGTAGGGGTACAAACTGGCACAAACAGCTGCGATGAAGAGGTAAGGAGAATATGGTCCTCTAAAAATGCCTGGAAATAGTTGTTTTCCTACAAATCTTTATTCCCTGTCTTAAAAAAATACTAGATGTTAACTTCCACCATTGTAGGCAGATTACCAAATCATGTGGAAAATCAAAGCAGACTTTAAATGACCCATTGTTTTATTTAGTGTTTCAGTTCTCTTCTGTTGAACTCGTGCTATTTGCTGTGGAGAGCTATTTAAATTATATTCTAAGTTAACAGGAGTTATTTGTATCAAGGTATGTTGCTGAAGACATTAAATAAAAAAAAATTGGCTTAAATCTATGGTGCCAGCCAAAATGGCAGGACTTGGACCTTTTTTTTTTTTTTTAGAAAAGTCATATTATTGGTATTGACCTTTTAGAGCAAACAAAATTATTTCCCTCCCACCTGCCTATAGAACTGCCTATAGAATACCAGCTTTTTTTTTTAACCAACAAAGTAAACAAGTAATTGAGGTGTATACAATTAAGGTACTTTAAAAAAAACCAAACAGACCTCAAAGTAACAATGTGAACTTGAATCACTCCAGATTGCAGGAATTGTGAATTTAATTCACAAGCTGGTATTTTGCCCCTGCTGAGTGCAAATACATTCAGGCACCAGATTGTTTTTTTCTTCCATTTTCCTCTATAGGGCAAAAAATGCTTCAGGGCACTGATTTAGCTTGTTAAGTTAGCATGTAGGGGGAGGGAGGGACAAAAATTATTCCATAATTAAACATTTACCTAACATTATTATCTTAATAAACTGGATAGTGGACAATTGTTATGTCTTTGTTGGGCATAAATAAGTTTAAGTGAGTTGAAGTAAAAATCATTTGTGTCATCATTAATTTCCTTGCATATTTGCTATATATAGAAATATTCAAATCCTTTCCTCTTTTCCAGACTCTTACTGCTACTGCTAAACAATCGATTCTTTGTATTTCAATGTGGCTTTTGCATTAGTTGGAAGTCCAATTAATATAAAATCAAGTACCTGGATTGTGATCTACCCCATTGGAACCAAAAATTCAATCCAAAAAGATTAAACAACTTCACAGGACTTTTATATATTTCTTTACGTTTTCTCCAACGTATGGGGCTTATAGTAGAAATTATCATGTTAAGTTTCCTTGACATTAAGTATCATCTGTAAAATACTCTGCTTCTCCTAATATTCACCGAAATTTATTTCAATTGTTTTAGTTTTGTGAGGGTGTTAATATCCCAAAGGAATAGAAACTCCCCCCCCCCCACCCAGCATTTCCATAGCATTAGTTAACTGCCACTTCCATTTCACTGTTCTTTCCCCACTGTGATATAATGGAAGATTGCTAGACCAGTGATAACATATGAGAATGGAAGGGAGGCACTGTTGGTAATGAAGACATCTACCATTGGCAAAGAAATACAGCCACTAAAAGTATGCTAGGATAGAGTGCTGGCCTAAGTACAACAGCAACTTTTTCTCTACCATTTGATGACACAGAACATTTTTCTTGACTTAAGCAATGGAGAAGCAAGAGGTGAGTTGCAGGGAGTATTGTGACATTCCTAAAGCTTCTAGGAAGGTGGAGAAAAGCCTGGGTTTGAAGACTGATGGGTCAGGTATAAAGAAAAGGCAAAGGCAGCAACAGAGACTAATGGTGGCTCCTCATTCTTAATGTTGAATTTAGCATCTGCCTAATCAATCCAGAAAGAACGAACCATTCTTTTTTTTTCTTTTCTAAATGTAACTTTCATATTTCCACTGTAGTGTTTTAAAACAACCCTATCCTTGTAATAAGACCTTCAGTTTTGTTTTTTTGTACAAGAATAGCTTTTACTATTAAAGTTACTGACAATCGAATCTACAGTTAATTTTGGCTATATTCTTCTAAGCAAGTAGGGAGTTTCAAGAAATGAAAAGAATTCTGCTTCCAACTACATTTCTCTTTAAGGGCAAAAGAAGACTGTATGTAAATTTACTTCAGAAATATATTCAAATATCCCAAACCATAAAGCACTGATTTAAGAATTAATGTGCACAAATAAAAAATAAAAACATGAAACCAATGGTTGACCATATATTAAAATGCTTGGCTATAATCCACATGTAACCTGTAACCTAAAAATAAAAGTTTGCCACAATACACGCTACCACTTTAGCTTTTTATTCCCCATTAACTGTAAATTTAAGATACACAAAATTTAAAACAAAAACAAACAAAAAAACCCAACAACCATACATTTCATCAGGAAAAAAAAAATCAAGTACCAAAAAGGGCTTTTCCAGATTTGAAAAAGAGCAAAAAAGCAAAATTGCTACATGAACAAACACTGTATTAAGTCACCGTACATCTTGTCAAGACTTTCCATAGTGAGTGCCAATGTTTACCCTCCAAATCCATAACATAGCACTAAACATGTCCCTATTTCTTTAAACAAATCAGTATCTATCTATTCCAAGACAGATTAAATGACCTGTCTCTATTCCTGAGATTATGCAAGTTGGTGTCTTGTAGAATTGATGTGGTTTCTTTTATTTTAATCCAAGTGCTACATTATATAATTGAAATACAATATGACTGGACAAATTGCATATAAATGAGTTCAGTGTAGATGGATTTGATAGACGTAGCTGGAAATTGGAGTATTGTATTCCAGCATAAGAATTTCACGCTTTGGCCATGATTCTAATGTATCCTACAGATGTGCAAGAAGTTGTAACAGTGTTAGTCTATATGACCTTTATGAAAAACAAAACTATACAAAAGTAATTTCTGAGGCAGTGTAAGAGGGAATGGAGAAACAAACAGCTCCCATTTGCTCATACGAGGCCTTGAATACGTTTAAAATGGGTCTCAAGTTCATAAACTATTTATATGATTAAATGAACTTAGGGCTAACTTAGGGTTCTGCTTAGGGCTAAGAGTGCAAAAGAGAAGTTATACCCTAGATATTACTGCTTCTTGAAATTTCCAATTAAATGTATGCATTACTTCTTATTAAACATCACTGGCAAAGAAATTAAGTACCAGAAGTACTGGCATTTAGTTGTTTTTAACGTGACCCGCTGAGTGTCACAGCAAATTTAGCAACTGCATAAAAGATGAACTTATGAAAAAAAATACTGAAAAATTCTCAGTCATAACTGTGCATATTAGACAACACTATTTCATCCACCCATTACCATTTAACACTGCAAAAACAAAGAAATCGATAGGTCATCAACATCAGCATTTTGTTTAAAATCATACCCTTAGCAACCCAAATATTTTTGTTTTCAAAAGCAAAGATCTTTGCTTTGCTTTGGATGTACACATTCATTCATTGATTAGACTTCTGGAATTTTGTTGTTTTCCGTTCATTTCAGCTTTGCTGTTAATTGGTGATGCTCGTAGGGCAGCTAAGCCTAACAATCAGCCAGGAGAATTAAGAATGCTGCCACTTGAGGTCAGCTAAGTCTCACTAATGTAAAAAAAAATAATATTGCACTCAAGGACATTAAATCAAGAATGCCTGCTGAAGCTGAATGCAGATGTTAAAACATGTTCCCTATATATTTCAATTAGGCTTTAAAGAGTGGAAAAGAATACAGCCATATTCATAAATTGGATCACGGTGGTTCCGGAGATGTACATGAAATAGATAATGTTTAAAGGAAGTGTACATTTCAGAATTTACTGAAATCAACAAATTCTGGTGAGCTCGAATGGGTAAACAAGGTGAAATTTATTCATAATAGCGGGAGTTGGTAGATTTTTCTACTGGCAATCCATTTTATGTTTAGTTATATTTTAAACAGCAAAATTGATTACTGAAGGCCCAGAAAAGTTCCACTGATGTTGACATTTGACTTTTGTAGCCTAACCAGTACTTGAAAAATGAACAAGTGCCAGATCAGACCAGGATCTCCATGCTATTTTTGAAAACTAGCAAATTCAAAATCACACTTAGCAGTAGAAGTTTTGCTGGTGAGTAAAAGGAAAGTGTGGTGTCCAGACTTTTATTTCAGAGGATGGGAAAGGGTCATTCATTATCTATGCAGAAGCCTAGGGATTACACAGCTACAGTTCTTTTCACAAAGAACTACGGTCAATCCAGGGTTTTTTTTTCTGAAGAGACTACTGCAGCTCTTGGCTTAAATGGCAGTAGAATAGTGCAAATCAGAAGTGCTGTTGGGACATATTAAGCATTTCTACTTTGGCCCCTCCAGCTGATGATTAGAACTCAAGATTTTTCAATTTCTGTTTAGCAATTTCATATTCTGCATAATACGTATGCTTTCTGTAGTGCATTCTGCTATATGTAAACATTTGTAACAGTCTGGGGCTCAAGATGTCATGAAAGAAAGGTAAAGACAGAAGAGGTCCATGTCCCAATCCCCTGGCATGCACTTCATGCTGAATTTGCTTGTTTCCCCCTTTGTGTAAGTAATTGTTCTAGCTCAAGTATAAAGAGAAGATTCAAGAAAATCATATGTGTAGTGACAAAATGACAGCCTTTTTAGGAGCACAAATTCAGCACAAATTCTCAGTCTAGTGGATCCAGTTCTCATTATTTGCTATTATTATTTGATGTTACACAGAATCTAGATGGATCTGATGACAGCAGAAAACCAAGCAGAGCTGTTTATATTCTGATAAATTCTACCACTTTTATAGCTTGAGCAGTCTGACAAAATTCAGTTACCCAAATATTTGCTTGATGGTAAAACAACAATGAATTATAAGGATACGTATACAATCTGTGCAATGGAATTAATGGTTTAGGGTGCAAGTCAAATATATTACAAGTAAAATTATTGTAGCCAGTTTTAATAATATATAGACTGCACTCATGGGAGGTTTTTTTTTTTTTGGTTTAGCAAGCCACTGAGAAGCAATCCATTGCACTTTTCAAGAATTTTTTTTTATAAAAACAAAATCAAACAATGTTTTCAAAACAGCAAAAATTATTAAGCATTTTAAAAAACATGCCAAGAGCCCGCTTCATTCTAGTATACATTCCAAAGCTTAGTATCTTTTAAAAAGAACATCTGAAATAGTTATAAGAAAAGAAAAATGTTAAAAACTAATGGGGAAAAGTGGTGCAGTTACATCAGGTCAGTTATAAAAATGACATGAGAAAGTTGTAGCTTTCATAATTTTCTCTTCAAGTTTTGGCAAGTGTGCGATTGCAAATGCAATTATCCCCATAAGTGCTCAGTCCAGCAATGAGAGAAGTTTTGTTGGATAAAGTTTGCTTTTTTAAATTTGAAGATCTGTAGTGCTGTTGAAACTGAAACTTTGTTATTGTTGTTAATATATAAAGCAACATTTCTTTGAGGATATTCTCTTAAGAATGAACCTGAAACTTCCCCCAAAGTTCCTTTGGTCTCCTCACCAAATACCATGCTACATCAAGATGAGCCCTCATTTGTAAGTTATTCTAATTTGCAGCAAAGTTGCTAAAATTAACAAGGAAAAGCTTCTTTAGATGAGCCTTCCTCCTATTTTCCTGGAGTTTAAGACTGAAAGACGTTACCAATACCTCAGAAAAGAAAAATCCATGTAGAAATTCCATTGATGGTGCCAAGCAAAAACGTTTCCTCAATTTTGCTTCAATGGATTTTTAAACACAGAGTTTGAGAGAGTTTTCTTGTTCTTTTTGGGAAAGCAAGAGGCAGTCTCCTTATGAACACAGCTGATCTTCAGGTAGCACTATGGTACCTCTCCCGAAGCTGTTGCTGCTAAGTTTCCAATTCACATTCATCATATCACTTCTTGTGCAAAACAAGCAGTCTAAGGAGAAAGAATGCCCTCTGGGTTCTAATAAAAATTGTAGAAAAGAAATTCGAGATAACCAACACTTCACCTATACTTCATTTTCCTAAAATTTATCTACAAAGGGAGGGCATCTGTGCGTAGACAGGATAAGCAAGACGGACATTTAGAGAGTCGTTGTGTTGGACGAGAGAGGTATGCTGGTAATGCAGGACTAATTCTTTAAGGGTGCTATATAGGTTATATGGCTCTGCAAACCCATAACCTCTTGGAGTGCTGTAGATCACACAGTGTTTAACTTCGCCTTCAGTTCTGTTAAGGAAAAGAAACAATATTTAATGTGATACGTCAGCTAGAAGAGTACAATAAAAAGATTCAGAAATTAATGGAACACATAGCTTAAGAATATTATTTTTTTCAGCTCTGTAATCCCAGCTATTTTTAAGAAGATTTTCAGACCATTAAGACATCTATACTTTTAATAAATGTGAAGCTGTATCTAAGAGATTACATGTATACTATTTCTACCAAAATAGTTTTGTTTTTTAAGTAATAGAATTTAGACCAACGGGCGAACTGAAGAATGAAATATTTTGTCAAAAGCATTTGAGTGAGAATGAACAAAAACCCAGTTTTTAAAGAAAAACAGCCTCAAATTCCAATTAATTGTATCACTTATTTCATTAAAAGATTTGTATTTCGCTGCCTGCTCTAGTGATTTTCTAACTGTATAAAACACTAAGTTCCCCCAAAAGAGAAACATTAGGGCAATTGTGGCTGGGGAAGTCCATTATAAAAAGTCAAGTTAAAACACGCTGGTATGTATCACAAAGTGAGGCTATCTCACAAGAAAAACACACTGTCAGGAAAAGCCTTCTCTATGTTGTTGATTGGCCTTCTGTAAGCCATATCAGAGACACAAGCACCTCTCCTAAAGATTGGATCATTTTGCCTAGCAAAATAATGTACCAATTACTGTGCCTATCTCCCATCCCATCCCATCCCATCTCAGTTTAAATATTTTACTTGTACAGAATTCACAGAACAAGTCTACCTTTTTAGGATTTTAAAATGTTTTTAAGAACTAAAAGGAAAAACATCCTCAAAGCAAAAAGCAGATACACTGAACCACTCCCACTCTAAAGCAAGCTCCTGTAATATAGTTACGTTTCGTAAGTGTGCCGAGAGCTTTCAGGTAATTCATAAAGCCAATACTTACACCACAGAACAAGCATAGCAGCCTTTCTTGCTACTTTCTCGAATTAAAAATGCTCCATCAGGTTTCCCGCAAAGCAAATCTTCTGCTTGGATGCGATTGATGTCTCCCACAAACCAAGTCTTTTCATCATAATGTGGCAGATTTTCATCTTCCTCATTCATAAAATATGTACTGGGAAAAGAACAAATCCTTTCTCCTTAATGCGGGGTTACTTTTTATAATAGGATCACTTATTCTTGAATAAAACAATGTATGCAAACATCAGCAAAACCTTGCCTTAAAAAAAGTATGCAACACTACTATCATCAACTTCTGTTAGAAGCATAGCATCGACTGTGGAGTAGGTATCAGTTGTCTCATATATAAATGTCCATGCGTATAATTAAAATAATGAAAGAAGAAGGTACTGAAGCATTTGTTACATTTGTGGTGTTATATGCTACCTATGATAAAATGCATTACAATAATAAAGATTATTTTTTTATGAAAGTATATAAAACAGAAAATATTAGTGTTATTCGGCTGTTCTTATGGATTTTTGACATGATAACTTGACTAAGAAAAATATGCATATTTATGCGGTGACAACATTATTCTAGCACAGATCTGTATGCAGATCTATTAGGATTTTAAATACAATTTGATAGCAATTTAACATTAAACAATTGCACTTACTCATCAACAGTTTCATTTTTGATTCCCAGCCAGTCATTAATTCGTTTCTGCCTTACTCCTTTATGATTAAGCCAGCTGCCAAAGAGAGACAATATTAGTTATTAACTTTCTATTATAATCTGGATCATTCCATCAAATGCCTCTCCAGGATCCCAAGAATACTTGACCTATTATTTTATCAATAGAAATGGTTTTATCACAGAGCTATGCCCAACAATAATGGTTTAAGAGAGAAAAAGACAGTTGTGCTTCTTTTGTGTGTGTGTGTGTATATTATGTGGCATTTTCTTTCTTGGCAAAAACAGCTAATTATGGCATAGAAAATATTTGTGGTATATAAGAACATATCCTTCCTTCTTCCCCCCTCAATAATGAGAGAGAATGGCTGATTTAGTCAATGAAGCTCCCAATCATCATAACACTAATGCACGAAGTCACCATACTGCAGAATGGCATAATTGAATTAATTAGTCTATGAACATTGCATTGCCTTTCATTTCAAATTATCTGGGAATATGGAACAAAAATAATATTGAACAAGCACTGAAAAGGCTAGCTAAATTTGTAATTTTTTTGTGTCAAGAGACTCACTTACCTTTTACTATGTTATTAGTAGAGGCAAGCAATCAGAAACCATGTATATAATTAAAAACTATTCAAACATTTTTAAAATGCTTTTGTAATATCTTGTTTAGTTTTGTTACTGTTCTCTTTGAACTAAAGTAGAGTGTTGCAGTAGGTAGTGAATAATGGTTAATTGCTTAGTTTGTGCTTACTTACACAAGGTACTGATCTCTGATTTTGCGTAACTGGATAAGATCAGGTTTGATACTGTTCATTTTCTTGTCTGTTTCTCGGTTGTCCAGAGCTTGCTTCTTCAAATCTTGTTCCAGTCGCATCTTACTATCATGAATCTCACCCAGGCGTAATTTCAATTTTTCATAATTTATCATAATCCTATAAAACAAATTCTAGTGTTTTACAAAGTTACATATACACTTCTCAAACTAAAATATTACGTTCTGATTTTAAAAGTTGCACATATTTTATTCATAATTATATAGCCCCCAAATCAATAGCAAGCACTCCACAGAGTAATTCTTGTTCGACTTGAAAACATCCTACAGTATTTCCAGTTCCTCCCTTTTTTTTAAAAAAAAAAGCCTCAAAGTTTTATTAAAGTTTTTAGATATTTATTGTATAGTTTCGTTTTTTATTTGCCTGTAAGCCGCCCTGAGTCCTTCGGGAGAAGGGCGGGGTATAAATTAAAGTAATAATAATAATAATAATAATAATAATAATAATAATAATAATAATAATAATAATAATAATAATAATAATAATATATATTCGTGTCAACTTGAATCAGCTAAATTATCTTCATTATATCAGGAAAAACGCTTATGGTATCTAGCATGTACCTGTATCCCTACAAACTGCTTTGATGTGTCTTAGCTGATAGAAGTGATGAAGACAGAACCCTGATCTCAAAAGGAAACACTGAGGTGTCCTCTTGCCTTTTGCCAGCCTCCAATGCTGGGTCTTTGACAAGATGAAATATCTCAATCCAGGGAAGTCCTAGCCCAAATATGAAAGAGGGCTGAGAATATGATAAATGCTAAGCCTGATGTAGAGAGCATAGAGAATGGCTTTGAAGGACAGCGGAAGGATCCATGACCAAGCTAATGATCAGATAAGCACAGAGACTTTTCCAAGAAACAAATGTAAGAAAATGCCTCAAATAGGGCTCTCTCTAATTCACACAAAGATAGAATGAGGGAGGAGTGGAGCACGTTCAGACTCGCAAGATTCTGTTACTGTAGCTGTTCTAATGGCCTTAGATTCTCATATGGCATTTGTTTCTTAGTCTGGTCTACCTTCGGCAACTCACACTTGCCCCCAGCTTTCAAACGTTCCTACTACCAAGGAGGGGCTTCTTTTCTCCTCAGTCTGACCACTACCATTTCCTTCTTTCAGATAATATTTAAATGATACTGTGAGGAAGATGAATGACATGCTGTTTAAAGATGATTTGGGCATATGGTATCAGAATCTGAACTAAAAGGAAATTCGGTTATATAATTAAGTATTGTTCTGCTGCTACAATTATACCTCTAGAATATATAAAAATTTCATTCAATACATGATTGTGTTATTAAATTTTTCTGCTTGGTTGTGTTTCTGACAGTCCTGCAAAGTTTCTGCTATTTTCAAACAGCATAATTAAGTTTTTAAAATTTCAGTTATCATTTTTATAATGAAGAATTATTTAAATGTAACCTGAACTGTTTGTCCCTTAATTCAGAAAATGGAAATTCAAAATATTTTTTTTAAAAAGACTCTGTGTTAAAACCATTAAGCTTTCTGAACTCAAACAGAACATTCCTGTAATTCATAGCTAGAAACTGCATACTTATGTAATGATTCCAAATTAGTTATTTAGGTACTCTTTAATATTTAATGCAGCTACTTTGAAGCTGAGTGAGAACAATTAAACAATATGGGGCTGACAATGTAATTACCACATTGAACTATTATTAGTTCAATTATTAGTAGGTAGACTTACCGTTCAATTTCTTTCTCATTCCCTTCTCTTCGAAATCGTTCAATGTATTCTTTGCTATACCGTTCTTGGGTGTGGCACTGCTCTTCAAATATTTTAATTGTTTCATTAAAAGCTTCTATTGCTGTCCTCTTCATCTGAATTTCCTGCATAAAGCAGTCCATTTAAAAGAGGATAATTTACAATCAGAAGCATAAAGCTATTAAAATGACTTTTTATTACCATTATATGAAAATATTGCACACTATTAATTTAGGAGGCAAAATTTACAAAATTCAAGTTTTTGAGATTTTAAATTTGGTTAAAATTGGTTCAAATCTAGATTTGTTGCCTTTCCTGAAGCTTTACATGATATGTAAATAAAGAAATTAAAGTGGCCTCAACCATGAAGAACTAAGTGAACCTAGCCACCAAAATGTGAACCCTCCAGCTCTAGATCTTAATATAGAAGCACAAGAGAGTTTAAGGAGGGAAGCAACTTGAGAAGCAAAAGTAATGTAAGCACAGGTCCATTTGCATGAAATATTGATAAGATATGAGAAGGAGCTTTCACAAATGACGTGATAATTTTTCTGATATGTTTTGTTTTTCTCCTGAATGTGCCAATCTGGGAGTTTATTTTAGAAATAAAGAACAGGAAGTAGTTTGTAGCATTCCAGATGTGGTTGTATCACAAAATGTCTAGTACACATCAAAATGCTTCCTGTTCCAGAAGGTTTATTGCCAAAAATAGGAACCACCCTGTAATTCTTGCATTCTGCAAGAATAGTTCCCACCTGGAACAAAGAGTGTGCACACCCATGATGATATAATCTTAGTTTAGAAGGAATATAAGGATGTAAAGGAATGTAAAATTCTGTAAAGAAACAACTATACATAACTACTAATATAGCAGCTTGGTTCAAGTCACGAATTCTAATTACATACTGGCCTCTGATATATAGTAAAATGGCATGTGGAGGGTAGACAAGAGCAAACCAATTAAAAAATAAAAACAAAATTGTCAACGGTCAAATTGTCAGATGTGTGTTTCAGAATATAGTGAGGAAAACTACATATTAAAAATCAAGCACCCCTTTGGTTTGCATGGGCATTTCCTATCAAATTCTATTTTTTTCCATAGGTCACCACGAGAATGTAAATCAACTTGCAATATACCTGTGATGTTCTGGTATATTCTTCATATAATCTGTCATATTCTTTACTTTTCTCTTGATATTGAGTGTGGTATTCCTGAAGCTTTTTGCCCACAGCATCAATATTATCTTCTTTTACCAACTGATCCTGCATACATCAGAGCAGAAAATAGATACAATTTTCTACAAAAGAAATTCAGATGCTGCTTTCGGTACATAACTATCTTGGGGAAAACACATCAATCTTCTTAATCCTACAGAACAAAGTCTTCTCAGTTATCAACATTTCTCCACCCAGATTTTAAATGCTGACTGTTCCAATTACTAAGGAAATCTATATGTCTAAAGACAAATATATTTTTTGATAGTTTTTGAACTTTTTGGGAGATCAACCTTTTTAGGATAAATGCCCAACACTAACTTCTTAATGAATTGTTTAATGTCATTACAAAGCATGGTAGGTGTTCATTAATGAAAGTTTTGGGGCTTTATTTTCTTTTTAAAAAAAGATATCAAATGCAGATTTTATTGTAAGTAGACAAAATTATAATGTGTTCATCTTAGCTTTGCATCAAGATTCATTTAGATACTTTTTAAAAAAACTTGATGCAAAATTATATTAAACAGATGTCAACCATTATAATTTAAAAATGATGCAAAATAATTGATATACATGGTGCAAAGATCAATTCTTGCTAATAAGTCTAAAAAGCGTCTGCATTTATTTATGTCAAAATAGTAAACTTTTATTTTTACATTAGATACTTAATGAAATAAATCCCCTAAAATAAAAGCTCTTGAAACAATCATATTTTAGCTGTGGTAAATTAAAGTATTCAAACAGGAGTAGAAAAGATTGTTCACAGCCTATTTTTCCAGAAACATTCCATGAAATCCATCTATAAGCTCTTTCAAATCTTACCTGCTGATATTTAGATACAGGATACATCAGCTTCACATCAAGTTTAGGATTATACTGGGCAAGAGATTCATGATGATAGTGGTTAATCAATTCCACAACAGAATTAAATGTCAGCGGATCAGAAAAGCCATATTTCCCATCCAGATGATAAATTTTTATTAATTTATTGTTGCCACCCTTCCTAGAAGGTAGATAAAAACAATCATCAGGTACATAGCACAATTGCATTGGTGATGCACACAAATCATAACATACTTTATGCTAGAACAGAAAGCCAAACAGAACAATTTCTGAATAATTATTTTGCACCATAATTTTTTTACTTTTGTCTGTAACACTTCATTCATTTCTTTAATATTAGCACTTAAAAACTTATATGAAAATGCATCCTAAGCAGAGCTACACCCAAACCCCACTAATCTTTAAGAACACCATGCTTAATTAATGGGGATGGGGTTTTGCTTCTTTGCGCAGACCGGATTCTAGCATGCCGTGGCCCGGTACTGGTCCACGGACCAGGGGTTGGGGACCCCTACTCTATAGAACTACAAGAAAAATAATTTAGCTGGCCTCAAATATACTGCATCCATTTTGTATCTGTGTTGCTATAGGCACATAAAACAATTCTTCTGGATTCAATCTATTAAAGCTATTGGTAGGGTGAACTTGGAAAATTCAATGCTTTCCATTTCCAAATATTTTACTGTAATGTACTTTTCTTGAAGAATTAGTATCTCAAAAACAGTTGAGATAAATATGAGAATATAATTCTCAATAGCTTTTAATCATGTGGTTCTTGCACACATATATGTAACAAAACTAAATATATTAATGGCCTGTCAAGTAAACGTTTTAAGCAGAGAGCAGAAGCAAGCCTTTAGTTTTTGCATTCTTTTTTACAGCTAACCCCATTTACTAAAAAAAAAAACCCAGCTGCCATTAATTCCAAGAAAGCAAAATAAAACACTGTATTTGAGGGCAAAGAAGCAAAGAAAAAACAAGTATTTTTTTTTAATAATGAAAGATATAGCCACAAACAGAAATCCCTGTAAGGTAGATCTAATTTCTGAGGGTAAAATAAGGAGAAAACTTTATTTCTCACCCCAGATTAGGAATTAAATACAAGAGAGAATGATACAATGCAAAACAACACTCCTTGCCCATCTATCATCAAAACAACCTTTGATTTGAGTTTGATTTGGTTTAAGAAACAATTTGAAGTAGTGATTAAGACATCAGCTAGAAACTGGGAGACCGTGAGTCCTAGTTCCAACTTAGACACAAAGCCAGCTAGGTGACCTTGGGTCAGTCACTCTCTCTCAGCCCTCGGAAGGAGGCAATGGCAAACCACTTCTGAAAAACCTTGCCAAGAAAACTGCAGGGATTTGTTCAGGCCAACTCTGAGAATTGGTTATGACTGAACAGAAGAATTTTTTATTTTTTAAAGGCATGGCTCATTTGCTTGTCCTGGCTATAGCAGTAGTATATATGAAAGATACAGGTAGTCCTCGACTTACAACCGCAATTGAGCCCAAAATTTCTGTTGTTAAACAAGACAGTTGTTAAGTGAGTTTTGCCCCACTTTAAAACCTTTCTTGCCAGAGTTGTTAAGTTTGTGATGCAGTAGAGTTGTTAAGTTTGTGACGCAGCTGTTAAATGCATCTGGCTTCCCCATTGACTTTACTGTCAGAAGGTCAATTGCCAAGTGTCTGAGTTTTAATCACCTGACCACGGGGATGCTGCAACAATCATAAGTGGGAAAATGGTCCTAAGTCACTTTTTTCGTGACGTTGTAACTTTGAACAGTCACTAAATGAATGGTTGTAAGTCGAGGACTTCCCTGTATGTGACAGACCTCAAGAGACTGGAAGTATATAAAAGACTGAGAAATTTCACCTCTTCCTTTCCCCGGCACATTTAATTTTTTGTGAAGTTAATTTGAGTTAATGATTCCAAGGAAAGGCAAGTATTACTATTACTATTAAAGAAAATCATCATATATTGTTGCTTATTTTGAGATCTTTAGTTTGCCCTCACATAACTTTCTGGGACAAAAGAAAAGGTGTGGACAACAGCTACAGGGAAACTGTTAAGGATAATTATAACAACCAAGGCAATGAAAAGGAGCTCTGCAGTATCCAAAAGCAGCACAAATCCTGACAACTCTGTTTTTAATTCAGACTTCTCACATCCTTTGAAACCACTCTGAAAGCATCACCTCCAGAACCTGGTTTTATAGAGAAAGAAAAAAAGTCCTAGGCTGCCAATTTCCATACAGTTTGCAAATGCTCTGGCACAGATGATGCTACTCTTTCGTATTATGCGGCACTTTTATAGCCCAGCACATACAGCACATAAAAAAACACACATTCTAGGACAATAAAGAATATTTACCATTCACATTCACTGGTTGCAACACATCAATTTACTAGCAAGCGCTAAACAGAACTTTAAAACAGACAGGACAACTTATATGATACTATCCCAGTTATTTACCGGAGCGTGAGTGTATAGTCTCCCTGTTTCTTTGTTGATGCATCTCGCACCAAGAATGTTCCATCTGGCATGTCTCGGAGTTTGTCATTTACCTCTTCTCTGGAAGTATAAGAAGTAAATAAAATACATTTACTTTTACTTTTAATGAGATTCCATCATAATAGCAGTGTTAATTACAAAAATATATAAGGTACTCCTGTTTTGTTTCCTTCTAAAACTAATATACACGTTTCCTGCTTAAAACTTTCAGAACACTGTTGCCTAAAGTAGTTTGCAATCAATTTTTAGAATTTACTCATATTATTTGCAGCTTTAATTAAACTCTCTTTTTTTAAAAAAAAATGGCCTAATGTTTGAACTAGTTACTTCTGATTAGTTGTAGTTACTTACTGATAAGTGCACTAACTAAAGATTGCTTCCCATCAGATTATTTACTGTTGATACTTTTAAATCACCTGAATCCAAAGGCAATTTTACATTATTTAAATGTGTACAATGTATCAACTTTTTGTTCTGTAACTGATTGTAACATATACTTGGTTGTAAGAAATGATTAAGATGCATGGGGCTTTACCTAAATAGTAGTCTACTTTTTTTGTTGCTTTTATGAACCAATATAAGAAAACTGCAAAACCAATGATTTGAAGAATGACGTTGATGTGTGGTGGTTACTGAGCAAAAGAGATTTTCTTTTACGAAATGAAAGGAGATATGCAAAGTCGTTATTGATAATCACAACTTTTCTAATTTGCACAATAATGGTGGTAATGTGGCTATAATAGGAACTGTAGCTCTGCCAGTAGAAAAGAAGTACTGCTACTCCCTTCCCATTCTCTAGACCTACTGAATCACATATGCTGCGTTACCTAATAAAAAACTTTTTCTCCAGATTCTTTTTTAAATTAGACAGCTGTATTCAATGCAAAAAGGTTTAAGATCGAATTCACTTAAAATTAGGCTATTTTAGACATTTGATTTTAATGTAAAAACCAGTTTTTACTTACAAAAATTAAGCTTTAAAAAATTTAAGTGTCCATTTCTGAAACATGTGCTCATTAACTTACAATGATTTCATTATGGCTGAACAAGCAGGAAAATCGTAATTTTAACATTCAGTAAAAAAAAACCCTCTTCACTAAGCTTACTGTCTTCGCAATACTACCTAGATAATTGCATATTATTTAATAGTCTTTACCTTGAAATGTCTCCCCAGTACCATTCCGCTTCCTGCAATGGAGAGCTGCAGTTCTCTTTTATCTCATTTGTATTTATAGAAGTTATTGGTTTGGAGGGCTTTGGAGGAAGAGCTGAAAGAGAAATTTGGTCTATTATTTCTGACTGCATAAGCACAATCTAAAAATATTAAAGAGAAAATTCAAGAGGGAATAAGATAACTTAAGAACACAATATTAATAACATGAACTAAAGAACTAAAGACAAAAGTGTCCTTCCTGAGGTTCCTAAACATTTTGTTTAGCTATTATTTGATAACATATAAAACTATTTCATCTGCAAATTTTATTGTGGAATTGGGTGGTGCCTGAATTAAATAAATTACATTAATATGTTTGCCATAAAACAACATTTTGAGTTCAATCGGTTGTTACAGCCAGTCAAAATACTCTGTTGCTCTGAGTAATTGTATGTTGAAATAGAAGAAGCATATATGATAAAATGGGCTAAGACTCTGGATATAACATACTGATGGAACAGTGGGAGAATATGTGCTTAGAAGGACTGAAGTTTACATTGTTATAACTTAAAAGAGAACTTCCATAAAACTATATGGTGTTGGTTGACTCCAGAAAAATTGTCTTGAATGTATTAAAGGTACTTCAAATTTATGTTAGAAATGTGGACAGTAAGAAGGGTCATTTTATCATGACTGGTAGACTTATAAAAAAGCCATACATTTTTGGACACTAATACATATAATGATATAAAGAATTTTAAAGATCAACATTCAACTGAAATCAGAACTTTTCTTGCTGGGTTAATGGAAAGTCAATTCAAAAAGACCCACGGAAGATTATTTAATACACACATGTGTGCATGTGCATATGCACGCACGCATGCGCGCACACACATACACCCCCCCCAATAGGGATCGCAAAGGCAGTCCATTTCTCTTGCTATCCCCCTTCTATAAAATGGCATTTCCCCTGGGATCAGGTCTGGTCTCCCTGACCTCAAAAACATACACAATTACATTTGATTAATACCCAGATAGAATAATAACAAGAAATACCAGGTATGAAAAGGCAATTGCAAATCACTTTTATATCACTGCCAAGAAAATTAACTGGACATATCCATGAAGTCACTGGGAGCTACGTGTGACTCAAAGGAGACACAATTTTATGAGTGATGAACCACATGTGTTTTCAATATTGGTGAAAAGAAACACTTATGCAAACCATTAAAGATCTCATATAAAATATTTTCTAAATCCTTTCTCGCAAATGTTTAGTACTATGTAATATATTGCACAAAATAAAAGTTGTGTTTAGTTTGAGGAGTACACTTTGTAGAAAACATGCAAGGTCTGCATCCTAAGGAACTTGATAGTATACTGCCCAAAACACATGGTTTGGATGCATAAAGCTCCTGATGTTTCCATTTAAAATTACCCTATCCTAACTGGGCCAGGGAATTTTTTTTAACAATAAAATAGATAGCCTATGAGAAACAATGTCCCTTGATGCTTTTAATACAGCTACATATGGTCATAAATAGGAAAAGTAAACCCTAATGTAGCCACACTAATATAGCTAAAGGGAAAGCAAATAACAATGCTGAGGCCAAACTGCATGCTAATATTTTAAAACTTTCATGTAAATACAGCAAATTTATTCTCTGTTTACTACAGAGGGCAGAAACAAACCAATAAACTCAAGTCATAAGAAATGGAACTGTGATAGTGTACAACTATTTTCTGAACACCTGCTTTGTTAGCATTATGTACCTATGGAACAGTCAAATTACAGAAGATAAAGTTGCAGATTCACAAGATGATATCATTATATCTTTCAAATACATAAATAAAACATATCTGAGTATTTTGCTCCCATAAATTTAAAACAATTATTGATATGACAAATTTAGGATTCTTATTTCAATTTCTGTTCTGATCCTGGGACATTCATCACATATCTGCTAGACACTGGGCTCACAAAAAGCATCATGTGATCATTAACCAGTCATAGTTTTAATCACAGTGCAGAAAACTCCAGAATTATGTATTATATTTACAAATAATAGGGCATATTCACATTAGGTCTATATGAAACCATCACTGTTTCACAGAACAAACTGTGAATATAAATATACAGTATTTAAGGAAAAATTGTGTCATATGCTATCAATGAAGAGAGCATACTATAAATTACGAATATAAGAGTAGGAATAGGGGTCTTAAGTAACAGGGAGGCAGATTTCTATTGAATATTAGGAAAAATTCAACAGTAAGAGCACTTTGTGGAAATCAATAACCAATAAGAATGTGAGCTCTATTTCCCTGGATGTATTGAAACAGGCTGGACAGTTATGGGCACTTTTAATTGAATTTATGCACTGAACAAGGGCTAGACTGATTGGTTTAAATGGTCCTTTCAGTTTTATGATTTCATGAAATAAAGAATAGCATGCTAGGATACAGTTACTCTGAACTATGTCCTATAACTGGAAAGGGACTGAGAGAATTAAGAACAAAGTATGTTAGTTGCAATTTACTACTTGCTATACAAAGAATAATTTGCAAATATACAAAGTCATAATCTAAGCTGCCACACAAAGTTTGAAAACTGAGCTTGGCTCAATGGTCATTGTTAGATGCCAAAGAACTCAGAAGACCAGAGCAGAAACTTCTCTCATAATCTTTTACAGCATCTGTTACAAATCCCAATGTAATGTACTGGATTTGTCTCTTTAGAAGGATAAGAATACTTCCTGAGTTCTTTGCAGTTCATAAAGAGACAAGAGGACTTGTATGTTGCTAAAGGCAGCTTTATTGTTAGCAGGCTATTTTTAATAATCTGTGAGCTGCTCTGGTTACCCTGATGGGCTAAAAGCAGCCGACAAATTCATTTGAATATATTCATCCTTACAACAACAAAAAAAACCCAGAGAATGAAAAATTGAAATTAAAAAGATAAATATCATGCATCAGGGGGAAAAACTGTATTTAAGAGAAAACATATGTATTTAAGAGAAAACAAATGTATTTAAGAGGAAAAAAAATTAAACACATTATTAAACCTTGATCACATGGATGGACAATACTGGAACCAAATCAGCTATATAATATGAAAGAGAACATTCAGCCAGAATATATCCAGGCACAGATTGTGGAACATGCCACTAGTTTTAGATGCAAACTATATGGATTATATTTAGAAAATAAAAAATAAAATATGTCCCAGAAAGATTTGATCTGGAAGATACAGTATACAGTTAGAACTCATGGTCAATATAAATAATGGGTTAAATATGCTTAACAAGTGAAAAAAACTCTAGGAGCTATGTGTAGAGATATTAGAAACAATAAAGTGAAAAAAATAGTCCCAATTTTTTAAAGAGGAAAGAACTGAACAAGGATGCATAGTAACTGAACAATGACTTTCAGTATCAAGCAAGAGAGCAATAGGAATATATCTTAATCGAGAATGTAAAACAAGGAAAATAATAAAAATGTTTCCAAGGAATTATAGGAATATTGAGGAATATTTACAATATAGCCAAAACAGAACTACTAAAGAGCAATCATAAAAATTATATAATAGAGGCCAAAAGGATTAAATTAAAATAGCAACCCTCTTCTAAAAGAAATACAGAAAGATTAATACAGTAAAGGGAATATATTCAGTAACCCACTCCACAGGAAACTTTGGTATCATAGGCAATAAACCAGCTGACCAATATAGGAAAGCATTAGGCGCTAAAAAAAAAAAAGTACTTATTTAACTGTTAAAAGTTTAGGCAAAGAGGCATCTAAATTGCTGTTAAGTCCAACAAATTTCAACAAATATGAAATAAAATTCTAGGGCTTAGAGATGAAAAACTATCAGGATATATAGTCATCCTAAAGAAGGGAGACAAGAAAAATCCTTGAAATTATCAAAATGTCATAGTAATTTCTCATGCAACAAAGTTTTGCTTAAAATTTTACAAAGAACAAAGCCATACAGGGAGATAGCAAAATGAATGGACAGGCAGTTTTCAGAAAAGATAGAGGGACACAAGATCAGATAGCAAACATAAAATGGATAAGAGGGGAAGGAAAAGAAAAAAGAAAATTACCTTTGCTTTATTGACTACAGCAAGGCTTTTGTGTAGATTATACCAGAATGTGTCCTACATTATAACTAATCAAAGTGTCCAAAGACCCAATTATTCTTCTGAGGAAGCTTTACAATGATAAAAAAGCTACTATAGTATAAGAACCAAATTGGAGAATCACGGTAGTTGAGAATAAGGAACAGATTGAGAAAGAATGCACATTGTCCCCATATCTATTTAAATTGTACAGCAAATACATTTGAAGAATAGAACATGATGGATTGGATCAAAATTTGAGATAAAAATGCTAGCAATTTAGGATCTGCAAATGACACCACTTTGTTAGCTGAAAGTAAAGGAGCCTTAGAAGAATTCATTATGAAAATAAAAATGGAAACTGAAAAATCTGGGTTGCTGTTGAATATTAAAAAAAGACTTTATTGAAGTGGTAGTTGATGGCAAAGTTTGACAGTTTTCTTGGGATCAGGAAAAGTTAGTGTGCATTGTGCTAGATAAAGGAGGAAGCAACAACAAATTAAGATATAATAATTTCTATAATCCCCATTCCTCAAAAGACCCCCCCAAAAGTGAAAATAATGGTTATTCCAGGGATAAATAGAGAAATGTAAAATCAAAACTTTGAGAAAAAGTGATATGAAAAGACGGGCACCTTCAACTTACAGATTTAGAGATGTTTACTGAGAACATTATGGATGACAAAAATTAATCAATCAGTTCTGAATGAAAGAAAGACTGATGCTTCTTTAACTTGGAAAGTTTAGGAAAGTGAGAGAATGAGAAGGCAACAAAAAAGACAGATGGATAGGATCAAAAAGATTACTAGAATGCACTTAAAAGAGCTATAAATTATTGCTGGCACAGTTCCTGGCATTTATCTATACAGCTGCCGGGGTTTCAGCCCAGGTTAATAGCACATAGTTAAATTACTGAGGGTAAACAGTTTATACACATTAACAACTTACTCATATTTTTATTGTGTCATTTATAACCCACATCACCCTGAACAAAG